CTTTCTAAGAGATCATGCACAAAAGGAAGATATTGTGTTAGAATTTGCGTACACGAAAAATCAATTGGCCGATATCTTCATTCAACCTCGAGGCCTTGATCAATTTTCACATATTCGAAGAGGTTTAGGCTTTATCAACGAATTCGAAGTACATAACTAAGTTGAATTTGTGTTAATAATTTTTTTATTTATAAATGTGGCATTATTTATTTTGTATTTGATTTTCTATGAAAATAGGGAATCGACGAGTCAACCCTGTCCAAATTGACAGAAGAAACTTAAAACATGAAGCCTCGCCAATCTAGACATCTAGTTTAACGCGATTTCAAAAATAATAAAATGCGTAACAACCTCATTTCTCTCCTATTTTTCCTCATTTTCCTCATTTCTCTTCCTAAATCCTCCTTAAATCTTTCCAATTTCCATCCCAAATCTTCAAATAACCTTCAAAATCATATAACCCATCACTTTTACATCACAAATCTCTCAAAATTTCAAATTTTCAACCACAGTCTCACATTCCAGTGAAAACCAAATCTTACTTCCATTTTCTTTCTTCTTCTTCATTTCTTCTCTACTTTATTGATTTTCTTAAAATTTTCGGGTCTAAAAGAGCGGAAAAATGATTTAAAAGTACCGTGAGAAGATCTCCTCGGCCCTCCCCCGATGAAGAATTTGACATGGAACCCTAGGTGTCGGCCAACTCTTTTGAAAAATCTCCTATTTTGATGGGTAAAGATGTTGATTCCGTTGATTTTAATATTGAAGCACACACATTTCACATAGAGATTTTTTTTTGAAAATATGGGTTGGGTGTCTATTGCTACATTAGAGGAACATACATATCCACGTCTCATGAAATAATTTTACAAAAACATTTTCATTGCTTCTTGATCGGATGAGATTTCTTGTTCACTCAAAAATATTCGCATTACCATTAACAATTCTCTCATTTGTGATTTTCTCAAACTTGAATTGTGTGAAACTCAAATTTTTCTTTATAAAACTTATCCTGTATTTGAAGGATATAATCCTACCAAGGAGTGTTGTCGAGTCACTGGGAAGAATATTGAGAATATCACCAAAATAAGTGCAAACCAACTTACTCTTCCATGTAAAGTTTTACAAAACATCATTGCACATGTCATTCTTCCTCAAAAAGGTCATCGGGATGAAGTAAATAATTTTGATCTTTTCATTCTCAATTCCTTTCTTGTCGGGTGGAAGTTAGACTTTCCAACCATTGCATTAGGTATCATGAAGCTTGTCCATTCCACTTGTCATGTTAAAGATTTACCTTATGGCATGCTTCTTATGAAAATCTTTAAGCATTTTGATATTCTTTTAAATGATGAGACCTTTATTAAACTTCGCCATACCAACACTATCAACATTAAAACTCTTAAACGGATGAAAATAATAAAAGAACATGGTCAATGGGTAGCTCACACGAAAGGGTTTGATCCTACCTCGGGTCCTTTCACTCTACCCTTCGATGGCGATGAAGATGATGATGCCTATGATGTGCCACAAGTTCCAAACCCTCCTCAGACATTCCGGGCTCTAGTGTTCCCCCTTCTTTGACGGGTGGTTTCATATTTATTGAGGATCATTATAATCTCCTCAAAGGGCGAGTTGATTCACTTACATCCTTCGTAACGACTGGCCAAATGCTTTACCAGTTGCAAGTTCAACAGACTGACATACAAGCCCAACATGATTCCATTCAAGCTCAATAGGCTGCGAGTAGGCTCAACAGAATGTCTTCTATGCTCACTTCTACGCTTGCTTTCCTCCACCGCCTCCTTCAGAGCCTTAACCATAGTTTCCGTTTTACATTTATGTATTTTGGACACTTCCTTATACTTTTGTATCTTGGATATACACTTGTTTCATCTAACTTATTTTTCTTTATGAATGAAATTTGCTTGTGTTTTGGATATCTTGTGAAATATACATGCTATCACTTGTGCCTAGGGTTGCTTTTGATCTATGCTTAACTAATATTTCTGGTTCCCCGCTTTCATTCTTTTTGCTTATGCCAAAAGGGGGAAAACATATAAGATGATAATATTGATATGCATATATGATATGAAATGTGATATGCAAATGTGACATGCTTGCCTTGTATAAAATATGGGGAATATATGTATAAAAGATATGAAAATACATGAATCATATGTGATATCTAAAGTTCTTCACCCCTTATCAATCTGTTGCAAATCATCTTTATTTGTTATAATCATAAATGGGGAAATTGTTGACTTATGGTTGACTTCATGTTTTGATTATAACAAATAATTTGTTTTTATTTCTAACAAATTGAATTTGAGTCTTCATAGCTATTGTTATAAATTTGATTAATTGGAGACAAAAAGATCACTACCAAAAGACTTGTGTCAGACGATCAATACAAATCAATATGGAAGCCGAGTATTTAGGACAAATCACTCAAGATAATGTATCGAATAGATTATGATATTTTGGATTCATATGTAAAGGTAGAATGTTTCATTCCTCAACAATGAATCATTAAAAGCTCAAATGAATTAATCTTTATGCACGAGAAAATTATTTCATGAAAACACTTGCATAAAAAATATTTTTCAAAAGGTAAGTATTTCAACTTGATCTCTTTACAATATTATTTACCTTGAAAAATAAAGTGAAAAATTCCTTCAAAAGCTTACATTTTTCAAAACAATCAAGAATGAAAAAATTCGGGAAAAATTGTCTAAGCGGACGTCTTGTTCGCTCGACGGTCAATTTTTTTAACCGTTCTCAATTCTGACGTACAATAGCTAGTTTGATTGTCCGGTTCAGTATGCAGATGTCCAAATGGGTCATCTGATTAGTTATAAATTTTGACATTTTGATTGCTATAAATATCATTTCACCTTGCGTTTAGTACATATACTTTTGAGAGCATTTAAGTGAGATATTCTTGAGTGAAAGTATATTGATTACACATCTTCTTTATCTTTGTCAAATCACTTACTTTGAAAAACTTTTGATTGAATCAACTATTGAAAATCATTCTTCTCATCAAAGTATTTCCCATCTAACACTGAGCTTCTTTCATTGCTATTCATTGAATACCTCAATACTTTTAGAGAGTTTTAAAAAGCCTACATTGAATACCTCTAAACTTTTTAAGTCTTTAAAAAGTCACAATAGAATACACACCCCAATGAATTTGGACCCAAAAGGAGATTTTTGGTAAGCCCATGGCTGTGATTTTCCCATTTTCGACGACTTAATAAGGACAATTAGTTGTTTATTGAAAGTCCAAGGACCAACAATGAAAATCCTCCCACGATCACCAGAATGACCAAAGTGAAACACAAAGACAATTTGTGGCCCTCTAATTCGACACAAAGATGACGTCCTGTTCACTAAATACTTCGCTTGACACTTCTAGCTCTTCCTGGTTAGGCAAATGACACCTCAATAAATTTCAATCAAACAAAGGTCTAGTTGTGAAATCCCTTCCTCGTAGGATTTTCTGTCATATGGACGCCCCATCCTCTTCACCATGTTGGAGATCAGAACACAACTTCACAAATATCCTTATCCGTAAAAGAAACTGAAGAAATTCAAGAGAACCACATTAAAAGACGCCAACTAATATTGGCTCCAACCACACCTTGCATTCATGGAGATTGAATGCTAGAGAGAAAAACTTCTTGTTTAGTGAAATTTCAAGCTTTGCACTGAGTTTCTTTAACTCATTCGACCCTCCTTACATCAATCTGCCCACACACACAATAACATATCAATTATAATTAAGCTGGCAAAACATACATTTTATTCACACATTTTATAGGATCAACAATTTATTACCCATTTATTATCTACACATTTTGTACTATTCACAACTTATAAACATAAAAGAGCATTATCAAACAAGCGTGATGAGTTTTTCTTAACTTCTTTTTATTGATTTTTTTCATTCAAGTAAAATCACCAGAGTATTTATTGATAATATATAGAAAATCAAATACAAATATAGGAAGGGATTAAGTCAAGACCTCCCAAAGAGAAACAAGCACATGATACTTTACTTAATTGAGTCCATTGAAGAAAAGAATGATCCTAATTTGAGTCAATTATAAGTAAAGGAAACCGACTTGAAGCTCAAAAGAAATTGAAAAAAAAAATAAAAACGCACGACACATGACGTGCTTATGCCATCTTCTGCATTCAAGTTGAAAGTCATCTTATGCCATCACTTGAGGTGATACATTAAATTGCATTATCACATCCAAGAAAATTAATTTCCTTCTCGAAAGATAAGAAAAGAATCCATGGATGCTATGTTATCTTGGACACAAGAAAAGAATCTTAAGGCTTTCAATTTGGACAAGTTCACAACAGGGAAGGTATTTTACTTAAGTTTGTCCTTTCAGATTAAGCCACTTTTTGGTGTAAATTAAAATTTTTAATTTAAGAAAAAATAAATAATTAATTTAATCATACATTTGATGGATCACATCCTTTTAACTACATATTTCATCAACTTTTATTAAAATTTACTAATAATCTAATTTTAATTTTCGCCAAACAGGGGCTAAGACTTACTCAGTAAGAACAAAGTCTTACCATGTCATTTACCAAGATTCGAGTTTTCAGTTCGTCTCTTAAAATGCATTTAGGTAAGTGTTTTTTTGTATTTGTAAAATAAAAAATATTTTAAATGATTAACTTAATTATTTTCGAGTTAAAAACTATTTATTCTAAAATTAAATGTTTGTTAAAATAAAATAATTAATTTTAAACTTTAGTAAACTTACAAGTAACATTTTTTTAACTTTATTTGACAAAATTTATAAATTATTTATAAATAATCATACTTTATTTTTAAACAAATATTTCAATATACCTACTAATACCATTCACCTAACGCATCTAATTTTATAAATGAATTCCTCTATAAAGTCTTTTGAAATACATGCATATATATGAGCCTGAGAGAACTAGCAGACTGCAGAGAGGAAGAAATGGAGCAAAGCGAGGACATCTCAGAGTCAACTCCGGCGGCAGCGTTCCGGTTGAAATGGGACGTGTTTTTGAGCTTCCGAGGAGAAGACACCAGAAATCGTTTCACCGATCTTCTGTACAAAGCCCTATTTGCCAAAGAGATCCGGGTCTTTCGAGACAACGATGGAATGGATCGGGGCGATCAAATAGCGCCGAGTTTGCTAGAAGCGATCGAGGACTCGGCGGCGGCTGTTGTTGTTATATCACCGAATTATGCATCCTCACGTTGGTGCCTGGAGGAGCTGGCCAGAATTTGCGAGTCGAGGAAACTTGTGCTCCCCGTGTTCTTCGAAGTTGACCCGTCGGACGTGAGAAGACAGAGAGGACCATTTAAGGAAGGTATTGAGAGTTTGGAGGCAAAGTGTGGAGTGGAGGAAGTGAAGAGATGGAGGAATGCAATGGCAAGAGTTGGAGGAATTTCTGGTTGGGTTTACAAGAACATCAGGTTAATTTACTCAATCTCCGCCTCTCTTTCTAACATTTATATGAAAACCCTAAATTATCACGATTCTTGAGTAAGATGACGATAAACCATATTAACCAAGTCTTAATCTGTTATCTGAGTATCTGATTAAGACTAAAAGAATAAGCACGCGAATTTCAAGATTTGTTTGCTCGAACATTTTGCGGAGATACATAGAGGGATAAATTCCGTATCGAATAATGATGAAAATATAGATTAATATATATGGGTTTGGATTGAGCTAACCCCAATTCTTAATATATTAGTATTCAATATTCATATGCACCCAAAGAGTCCAGTTGCCTCGAATAGCTCTCTCTCCTCTCTCTCTCTCTATGCTTTCCCTCTCGACCTTGTTCAATATGGTGTACCAATGGTCAATCTTGTCATTAGTGTGTTTTGGTAGTAGAAGATAAGGCTTCGAACTACATCCACGAAAAATAATTAGAATTTCATGTCATTTAGGTAATTATCTATGAGGAAGTGAAAGCATATATTGGTGTTCTTATTCAATTACAAGTTAATGAATTTTTCCAATATTTGTTAGTTGTTAATTATGCATTAAGCATATCATAATTATAAGAAAATTGTTTTAATTAACTATTTAAGATACCAAAAAATCTCAACAACTTTTATACACAAAGACTTAGCAATCTTTAAAAGTTTAAATTCGTGTTTAAAAGTCTAAGCAAAAATCTCCAATCTAAAAATATAAAATATTGAATTATGCTTCTTGTACATCAAAGGGGTGACATAATGGCCAAGTGGAGCCTGTGGGCCGAGGCGCCCCTCGCCACTTGGCCATTATGTCACCTCTTGTGTAAGGAGTGATGTACTCCTAGCAAGACCGTAAAATATTGGCCTTAGGCACAATCACCTTCCCTAACAATTTTGTTAAAGATAATTGGCCTTAGGCACAATCTCGTAAATCTAAAAATTTTCTCTACTTTTTCTATTTTATCTCATTGTTAATTTATATAAATACAAACTTTGGAATATGGTAAGCTAATGTATTTTCTTTTGACTTTTCGATCAAAATGTTGAAATTTTCTTTTGTACAAGCAGAATATTGATAACAATGTAATCAGTTGCCTCTCCCTCTCTTGCTTGAAATTCCTCTTAATATATGATCGTTATAGATAAATGTTTTACTAACAAAATTTATTTTTACTTAAGAGGACAGCCAAACATGGCATGTTCTTGTACTTCAATACTTCAATAAGTAACCGAACAAATAAATTCCAGGAATATGCTAACTTTAAAGTGAATGAATTATACTTTGGAATGCAGGGAAGAGACACATTTGATTGAATCTGTAGTGAAAAGGATCATGGATAAATTGAAGAACTCCCCATTTGTTGTGGCTCCATATACTGTGGGGCTCGATTTTCCCATAAAGGAAGTGATGGAATTGTTGGATGTTACGCAAAATGTCCCCCAAGTTCTGGGATTCCTAGGTACTGGTGGAATTGGCAAGACAACTCTTGCTAAAGCCGTTTACAATGAACTTGCAAGGCATTTTGGACACCGTAGTTTCATCTCAAATGTTAGAGAAAATTTTGATAAGCCTGATGGTTTATTGTTGCTTCAGAACAAACTTGTTAAAGATCTTTCCACAAGTTCAGCACGTCCTTTTGACAACAATAATGCTTTTATGGCTACAATCAGAAGAATTTTCCAGGAAAAACGAGTATTGCTTGTTTTAGATGATGTCGATAATGTAAATCAGCTTACCAAACTAGCCATTCGTAGAGATTGGTTTTCTGAAGGAAGTCGGATTATAATTAGTACAAGAAATAGAGATGCTTTACCAGCTGATCTTGTGAATAAGATTTACGAGGTGAGACAATTAGGCTCTTCTGATTCGTTAAAACTTTTTAGTTACTACGCGTTGGGAAGAGAGAAACCTAATGATACTTTCTTGAAACTGTCTGAGCAAATTGTTTCCGCTACCGGAGGATTACCTTTGGCTCTACAAGTATTTGGTTCGTTCCTATTTGACAAGCGGAAAGTGGAGGAATGGCATGATGCACTAGAAAAGCTGAAGAAGATTCGTCCTAACCATCTTCAGGATATCTTGAGGATAAGCTATGATGCACTTGATGATGAAGAGAAGTGCATATTCCTCGACATTTCATGTTTATTATTGAATTTGGAAATGAAGAGAGAGAACATAATCGATGCTTTGAAGGGCTGTGGTTTCAGAGCAGAAATTGCATTCACAACCCTTAGTAAAAGATCTCTCATCAAAGTTATTGAGGAAGATGAGTTGTGGATGCACGATCAGATTAGAGATATGGGAAGACAGATTGTCTTGCAAGAAGGCTATTCAGATATTGGAAAGCGAAGTAGAATATGGGACCGTGGAGATGTTCTCGAGGTCTTGAAGGGCCAAAAGGTATATATTTCGACGTAAAAATTTTGTTGCACTGTGTGAAGCTTAATTTATACTGTTCACTTATATGTTCTCGACTGCACATTGATCTAGTTTTCCTAGGTCTTACTTTTTTATAATAGAAGTATATAACTATTCATATTCAAATTGGGAATTTTTTTTATTATAAGAGTATACTGACATTCATATCTCTGTATTAGGTCGCCCTAATTTCCTATGCTATAATCAAGCATTTTAGGGACTTTTTTTTTTCCTAGACATGACGTAGAGGTGCTAGGAAAAAGAAAAACATCCTTATAATCTCCTTATTCATTATAGTGAAAAATCTACAGCGTCGATTGATGCTTTTGGCTCTTGGGATTGAGATTTGGGCTTAATCCTAAAAAATGTTCCTATAATTATCCTCTGAATTTTTAAATATCAATCTACAGGGGACGCGATGCATCCAAGGGATTATCGTCGATCTGGCTGTGAAGAAGCACACAAGGATTATTAGTGCTAGAACTATAGCTCTTAACGATCTTCTAAGATCTCCCAGTTTCACTGCTGCATTAACATATTTGAAGGAGAAATACAAGGAATATTTTCAACGTAGGGCTGAAGAGTGTGAAGTAATAGTGGATACCAAATGGTTCAAATCAATGGTTAATCTGAGGATGCTTCAATTCAGTAATGTCCGACTTGAAGGAGATTTTAAACATATACCTCCTGCAGTGAAATGGCTGCAATGGAAGAAATGTTCACTCAGAAGTCTGCCTTCTGTATTTTTGGACAGTGAAATGGCTGTTCTTGATCTCTCAGAGAGCAAGATAGAAAGTATATCGGGATGGAAGTGGTTCTGGGATAGAAGAAAGGTATGTTTCAGTTTCATGACATTTTCTGAGAATCGCAAATTTTAATATGCATAATTCTGGGATAGAAGAAAGGTATGTTTCAGTTTCATGACATTTTCAGAGAATCGCAAATTTTAATAAGCATATAAGTTTGCAGAAAATATTAAAAAGAAAAAGCATGTATATAACTTCCCTCCAAGCATGTAAATACCTTCTTTGTTAGAATTGCTAAGAAATCTATGCTTATTCAAATATAAAAAAAAAAAAAACCTGTGATATAATTCTGGATTTAATTGATTAAGACTTTGTGAGTGCTCAACCTGAGTATATACTCATATATACATCCAAAATCAGTGGTGAGTAAATTCAGCCACATTACATTCCAATATTATCCTTACTAAATTCATTCATTTAAACGCTATATATGTGCACCACTTTTTTATATCTATCCCACTCTAAATTTATCCTTTAAAAAGTAATATACTCATTTTCATTATATTCCAACACAAAACTTATTAAGCCCGTTTTTGGCCCCCATTATTTCAAATTATAATTTTTGGAATAGATATTTTTTTTTGAAGAATGTGTAGTTGAAAAAGAAGGAAAAGTTTTTGATTTACGTGTAATATTATTTTATGGAAGAATGTGTCGTTGAAAATAAGAGAAATAAGAATAAATTTTTGGGATGGTCAAAACGGGGGCCAAATTCACTGAAGTAGTACTAGAAAAAATGGCATGTCCTCGTTTCTAATTGTTATGTTCTTTTGCTTAGCAGTAGGTAGAGTTGAGATGAGGATCACATACTAACAAATCAAACTTCTTCGTCCTAGTCCACATCTTGAAAACCCTTCCTCCTTCAACCCCATCATTTGAACTTTGTACATCCTTTTCAAGGTTGGCACTAGAGAATTTTCTCAGACGAGCACTACCACCATGAAGAACCACCATGACGAACCTGATGACAGTCTTCCAAACTCACTTGTTTTCTGTTGGGAAAAATGGGTGATTCGTGTGTAGATATTTATCAATTAAATAACATAAACATGATATTAATAAATATAATTTAACTATAATCATTAACATAAGAACTCAACAATAACATGAACATAAAATATAAGTAGAGAGTTAGAAAAGCAAACCTCATAGAGTCACGTAAAAAACGTTGTCCTAAAGTCGTGTTGCCTCTCCTTTGTGCGGGAACTTTCGACACTACACGGCTCTAAGATAAAATCCATATAGTTCACATTCATTCTCCTTCTATGGAAACGGCTGCAGGGAGATAAAGGAGTCTTTCATCGAGTTGCCAAAATATAGGAAAATATTATGAAATGTAGATGTAAAAAAATTTTAAGTTGCTTTTCTCGTGTACATCTCAATGAAAACCACTCCCTTTTATGGGGATAAATTTAGCCCATACAATCATGAATATTAAACCAATTAAAATGTAAGTTACGCTCTAGGAATTATTAGTTGTAATTTTGTATTAAACTGAAAATTAAAATCAAAATGGAAAATTAAAAGATTTTAATTTGAAAGGTTAATTCTTTTATTCTTAAGTTACAACATTTTCCACCCTGACCTTTCTTGCTCTTGTTGTCTTGTTTAACAAAATACTCGTGGTACTTCTTGTTTCTCTTCTCCAACACATATATTTGCTCTTGAAGATCCTCGATTTTCTAACTCAGCATGTACACCATGTCATCCTCACTCATCTTCAACACACACTGAGCAAGCTCAGAGGCCTCTCTTCAGAAACAAGGATTTGGAAGCCAACCCTTTTGTTCTCTTCCATTGTTGACGTCACTCTGAATTCCAATGTCGCTTTATCGTTCGGAAGAATTAGCCTTTCTAATTCTAGTACATCCAGCAAATTCTGCTTCAGCTCTATCTTTCTCACCGATTTATTCCACCGGTTCTCTGCTATGCTAAGCTCATTCAGATTGAACTCGCAATCAATGTTCTGCTATGACCATATCAGGATCGAATATCGATCTAACTAGCTCCCAACAAAGGTGACTTGAATAACATGTACTCTCAACATCAGTATCTATGGCTTTGCAAGCATCCCCTCCATCAAACTGACTATTACCTTCAAAACTTAAGGGCGGGATCGGGGAGGAGTATCGAAGGGAATGATGGTTCTTTGCAAGTTCTCGACAGTAACTATCGGCCAACGAGAGGCATGCATTATACAAATCTTGTAGTAATGCCAGTAGCTGAACGAGCTTTTCATAGTAGAAATTGGCTATTGCTGCAAAACTGTCAGCCTTTGTACCAAGATCTGTGTATCATAATATATATATATATAAGGTTAAAAACATAATATAGATTTTTTTTTTTTTTGAAAAAAAAAAGTGGATAGATATAAAAAAAATGATGGATGAAATAGCAGCTCCCTACATTTTTCCCCTTTAATGCATTTTTGCTAGTCTTGTGTGAGTTGGTTACTAGACAATATTGTTTTTCTTAAGATTAGTAACAATAAGGTGTCTTCTAAATTTAAATTAATGTGAAGGATTTTTGAAAGAGTGTAAGAGTGTTTAAGATAGAAAATTTATACTCATTGCTTATATAGCATCTTTCTTTTTCCATTATTAGCGTGCTTGGTGTTAAGAATTGTGGTTCCATCTTAAAAGGTCAACCTTGTTAAGAGGAGTAGCCCAAGATCTTTATTAATTGGTATATGTCAACATCATTTATCGATGTGGGATATATATCCCTTAACACGCCCCCACAAGATGGTGGCTCATTTGAGCAGACCAATCTTGAAATCCACGTACTCATTTTAGAGTTTTAACGAGATCGAATCGCTAGTTAGAGCATAATGGGCTCTGATACCATGTTAAGAAATATAAATTGTATTATTATGGTCTTGTAAATAATACAATGTAGAAGACCCTATTTATAGGGTTATAAATAACTGTAAAAGGAAATAAACATAAAAGGAAATATTATACAATCAACTACTAAGGAAAGTAATCCTACACTAAAAGGAAATATTATAATGAAAAGTATTCCATATTATATTTCTATATTTAACACCCTCCCCTCAAACTCAATATGGGGTAGAATATTGAGTTTGAAGAAATCGATACAATCAAATCTTCCAAATTGAAGAACTCCAAGCACTTGAGGTCTTTGTCATTGGTGATGGAGATGAGTGACTTCTTGTTTGCTGGAAGAAAATATTTGATGGACACATTTTTTTTTTTTTTTTTTTTTTTTT